TTTGTTTAATACCAAAATCCTGCATTATTTTCCGGACAACCCAATAAGAGTTTCAATTCATATGGAAAAGGTTACATTTGAATTGGAAAGGTATCAACTCATGAAAAGGATTAAATTTGACGTCGTAAGGTTTTTAACTAATATGGAAATGGTTAAATTTTAATTACAAAGGCATCATCAACTCACATATAATTGGTTACATATGTAATGGGGAGTGGTTTCAACATATGGAAGAGGTTAAATTTAACTTGGAAAGAGTTTCAACTCATAGGGAAAAGATTACATTTGAATAGGAAAGGTATAAAGTCATGAAGAGGATTCCATTTAACTTGTAGTTTTATCTCAACGAAAAACTATAATTAATTGAAAGATTTATTGGTCAAGCGGACCACGAAAACTATTAAATTTAGCAAGTAAAAATTAAGTATATATTCACTAAGGCTCTCCGTGGCCATTTCATTTGCCGGCCGAGAATCAAATAGATTACACGACATTTGAAGAAATGATGATGGTGTCTAGGCGAAGAAAAAGAAGCTTTTCAAGTACATTTTATTAGGTTTCGTGGTCCGTTTGACCAAATAAATTCTTTGCCAATTAATTAAGGTATTGGTTGAGATAAAAAAAGGAATTGAAAAGTGGCAAAAAGGAGGGAAAATTAAAAAGGTGGGGTTGAGTTGTGAAATTAGTGTCTGAGTGGGTCAAAGTCACGATAGCTCAAGTGGTAGAGTAGCAGCGTATCTAGCCAAAGGTCGTGGGTTCGAATCCCATTCGTGACACTGACTTTTTTATCTCAACTAAAACCCTTAATTAATTGAAATAGTGAATTACATTTAACATGGAAATGGTATGAACTTATATGGAAAGGATTACATTTGACTTGGAAAGGCTACACCTCATATGTAAAATGTTACATTTGAATTGGAAAGGTATCAACTCATGAAAAGTTTCAACTCATATGGAAGAGGGTAAAATTTGACTTGGAAACGGTTTCAACATATCTTTTTAACCCTTTCCACCACCTCGCCGTACCTGAGGAAGACCCCATACCGGCGGACAAACGCTTTAGCTTAATCGAATTTGAATATCTAAGGGATTTCAAACAAATGGGATAAAAATACCTCTCAACGATCAACATATATGGAAATGGTTACATTTGAGTTAGAAAGGCACCAACGCATATGAAATGGGTTACATTCGTCTCGGAAAGGGTTTCAACTGAAGGGGTTATATTTAACTAGCAAAGGGTTTCAACTCATTTGGAAAAGGTTACATTAGAATTAAAAAGGTATCGTCTCATGAAAAGGATTAAATTTTTTAAAGCCGCGGTCGTGGGTTCGATTCCCACCGTCGCCTCTGGCCCTTTTTTCCCGATAACCCCCAATTAGAACGACATATATAAGAATTCGTCATGGCTAATATGCAAAGATCATAAGGCCAAAAAAAAAAAAAATGATGGTTAGGCAGAAAATTTATCAAAACAATAACTTTATTTAAAACAATTAATTTATTTAATAATTTATTACATGGTTGTGCTCATAAAATTTAACTAATAATTTATTACATGGTTTTGCTCAAAATAATGCATTAAGAACAAAAGAGGCTTTGCGATTGTGATACTGATTTGTGAAACGTTGGCACTATAAAGAAAATGATTTCCTAAACCTACTTCATACCAGATCAACCTCACGATCTCTTAATAATCGTTAATTGACGGTCACTAAATACTACACACATTTATTAATATATTTTTCCTTACGGACCTCACGTAAGTGTACGGGATGATACAACTTGGCCGTTTAAAAATAAGGCATAACTGTGAGTTGATCGTACCTCAGAAAACGTTGTTATGAAAAGCTAAAATAACTTCCTTCTCAGGTGTATGTCAAAATTCTTTATCACCCCGGGGCAAAAGGGAACAATTGGGCAAACGGCTGACATATCGGGAATAAATAGTCGTCAGCGCAATGACCTTTCCCGACGAATGGAAGGCCTGCATCGGATTGAACGGACGGGAAAAGTGAAACGTTATCGTCTCAGAACACTCCACCGCCCCCAACCGAGCTTTGTTTTTCATACAATTTCTCGAAAGGGGCTTTCAAGCTGTCCGCGGACCTCCGACCGCTTGAAACCGGCCAAATCTACGTCCCTCGCAGAATGCATTAGCCAACAATTGAAAATGATAAAATTCCGCTCAGTAAACCTCCTACTGCTCTTTTGTTTTTGCCTTAAGTATATTGTTTATTTCCAAGAAATGGTTATTTTTTCTTTTCTCACTTTGATTAATAAGCCGCAATTAATTACAACTGATAAATTACATCATCTAAACCAGCTACACAACGTGCACAATATTCATGGTAAACTTGATCATTTAGGAAACTGCTTCCGTATAAGATCCGGAGCTGACTAAATCCGGAAATTGGAAACTAAACACCCTACGAGTTGGCCGTCCACTAATTGAGTTTGGGAGAACAAGGCGCTGGCTGACCGGACTAATGAAGTCTGGGGGTGCGTAGGCTCAACCTGTAGAAGCCATTAGGTGATTGCAGGCTTGGACATGATAAATGGTCCGGCCTCAACCCTCCTCGTTGGAATAATTTACCATCCAACTCGATGCGAGATAAAAGGAACACCTTCGGCCGTATCATGTGTAACCCATAAAACAATTTGTCCTAAAACCCAACGCAAAAAGACCACATTTTGGTTACTTCTATATTGACTGCTTCTTTGTACACTTTTTTTACAATGTACACTTTGGTTAGCAACAGTGTTCAACAAATCATTGGCAAAAACACAATGCAATATTAGTTGAGTCTTAAGTCTACTAAAATCCAATTATTTCTTTTGTGAATGTTAATATTACATATATAATTATCATTGCAAATTATTTGCAATTATTTAATTAAATCTATATATGTATAAGCTATTGTTTCAACGAATTTTGTACCATTAAGCAACGCAAACCTGTGATTTTGACAAAAAACAAATGGTATCACGATGGGATAGGATACAAGCACTTAATTGTGCAAATCAAAAATAAAATAATTGCACAAACATTACAATTAACAAAATAATTATGCTCAAAAATGCAGGTGTGAATTTAAATACTAGTTAAATTCACTAGTTTTCATGGTCCGCTTGAGCAATTAATATCTTTCAATTAATTAAGGTTTTGAGTTGAGATAAAACCGAAAACCTAAAAAAAATCTCAACTGGACCGAAGTCACCATAGCTCAAGTTGTAGAGCAGCGTTTCTAGCCGAAGATCGTGGGTTCGAATCCCGCTCGTGAACTGACGTTTTTATTTCAACTAAAAACTTTAATAAATTGAAATATTGATCAAGCGGACCATTAAAACTTGTGAATTAATAAGTAAAAAAATGAAGTATATCTTCACTCAAGCTCTCCGTTGTCGCCGAGAATCAAATAGATTATATTACTTTTGAAAAATGGCAAAAAGGAGGAAAAATTCAAAAGGTGGGTTTGAGATGGGAAGTTAGTGGCCGAGAGGATCGAAGTCACGATAGCTCGAGTGGTAGAACAGCGGCGTATCTAGCCGAAGATCGTGGGTTCGAATCCCACTCGTGACACTAACTTTTTCATTTCAACCAATACCTTAATTGAATTGTGTTAAATATTTTTATGCCAAATTTTATAATTATTTAGTGGTCTATTGACCAAATTACTTCTTTCAATAGGTAATCATTTTATGTAAGGTTTTGGTTGAAATGAAAAAGTTAGTGCCACGAGCGGGATTCGAACGCACGACCTTCGGTTAAATACGCCACTGCTCTACCACTGGACTTCGATCCCCTGACTTTTTCATTTCAACTAATACCTTACAAAATCACTAATTTGAAATTAATAATATTATCCAAATCTACACCAGTTCTAAGCTTTTAAAAGTTTCTTCTGTTTATTAATTTATCATTAAATAATACATATTTACAATATATAATTTTGTGGTTTCAGTAAATAATAAATTGTTTTTCTTCTTACACATTTAATATAACATCTTTAAAATAACAGTTATAATTAATTTAGTTTAACAAACAATTAATGCTTAATTTTAAATTAATTAATTTTTTTTAATGTAAGGTTTTGGTCGGAATGAAAAAGTTAGTGCCACGAGCTGGATTCGAACCCCGAACGTTACTCTACCACCTCTCAAGTTGTAGAGCAGCGGCGTATCTAGCCGAAGGTCGTGGGTTCGAATCCCGCTCGTGACACTGACTTTTTCATTTCAACCAAAACCTTACATAAAAAGATTAATTAATTTATAATTATGCTTTAATTGTTTTTTTTTTTTTTGTTTTAAAATAGAAAAATTAATGAATAACGACGAGAACAGCGCATAAGTGACATAGCCAGCTTAATAGCCTAAATTGATGATCTTCAGGAATTGTGGTAAAATAAATTAATCTGAGGAATGGCTCTATACTCTTCTAGATTTTCATTTCTGTGGTTCTATACTGGAATAGGTGTGTGAGCGCACAGAATTATTTAGCAACACACATTCACAACTTACTTCAGTGAACAGGTTTACAGGGCTATGCTGGGTCTGAACAAAATCTGAAGACTTTTGTTGTTGGACCAGCTAAGAGGTACTTCCCATGGAGAACCGGAGATATTCACAAATGTATGAAGGTCCTCCCTGGTCTTTAAATTGCACAGAAAACACCCAGTCAAGATGAAGTGCCTTTACAATTAACATATCAAGTTTATGATAGCGTGTAGGGGGTAGGCTACCCAAATAGACAATAAGCCCCCGATTAAACTTTCTTCACTTTTATGAAAATAAAATAGTTCATTGGAAGGAGTCTATGAGGTCTATGCAGTCTATTTTTTCAGTTTAGAAATATTTTGGAGCCACATATGGAATTCATTGTTTCTGTTTGCAGCGATTCTGGATGGAATTGTGTCCCAAGCTGAGACGGAATTTACAACTTTTTTGCCAGCTAGTTTATAAATTGTCACTGTAAACTATTTTCAAATTTTGCTTACCGGTGAGTACGAGAACATAGCTGACTAAGTGGACATATGTCGCAAATGAGGCAACACCCATTGCCACATCATTACTTAGGCCACTGAAACAAAAGAAAAAATAAATGTGAAAAAAATTAAATAAATAAATTATTTACAATAACTTGTTTACACGCCAATCACTCAATTAGGGTGAGGAGTACTCAACACATCACCCTTTCTAATCTAATTTGCAATCGAAAGTATACTCAATATTCACTTATCAGCTCACATACACTAATAACACATTTGCTCTAATATATATAAAAAAGAACCAAAATTAGAATCAAGTAATATGTATAATAAAGCAGCCCTGTTTCTTCCAAAAATTTGAACAGAATCACTCAAGCACGTCGTCAAAGATTTGCTCCCGAATGGCATATACTCCTTGTATTACTTTTATTTCCCCATAAAGTTGCTTCTGGCAAGAGAGTGGTTGTTAATGTTAATTCTAAGTAGTTGTACTCATTTGCGATTTTGATAGGGTGCTTGTCGTAGAACCATTTTTCATGTACGCCATATCAAGTATCAGAAAACTAAGCATAACCACTGATAATATATTAGGGGTATTTGTGTTAACTCTTTTCAGCCTGTTAAGTCCTGTTAGATCGAGAAAAATGATGACGAAGACTTGTACGAATCGGCTAGCAACCTCGATCTAACAGGGTAGGGCTAATGCTAGATATTAGGTCGAAAATGTAGTCACATTGCTATCCGTTAGGGCGGAGGTAACCAACATGGCAGCCATGAATTGAACAGCTGTTTTTTGTTTAAACGTATTTTTATTCTTCAATACGCGTTAATTAAATCAGACTAATACATTTCTTTTTTTAATTTCTGACTTGTCCTTGTACTCTCATTCATAATAGATACATCTTTTATCTTATAAAGTTGTAGGCTGTTAGACAATAGGATGCAAGTTAGATATATAGGCACGAATTGTCGAAAACGAGTCATTTGCTAGTACTTTTCGAGTGCATAGGTAGCATTTTGAATGAAAGAGTTGATTAATTTCCCTTTTTTATTAACTTCTGGCATCTTATAATTTAGCACAAAAAACCCAAACAAATTACAACAAGCCTAAATAAATTATTTACAATAAGTTGTTTAAACGAGTTTATTTTATATATAGCAATCTGTACAAAAATGTGCATTGAGTAAATAGTATAGATATATACAAAAATGAGAGATTTGAAAAACCAGGAGGTAGAAAACCAAGCAGTGCTGGACCTCTGTTTTATTTAATTGGGTGGGCTAAGATTCCCCACTTAAATAGCTGTTAAATTGCTGTTGTAATATATTTAATAAAGCAGCCCTGTTTCTTCCCAAACTTTTCACAAGTTCAATCAAGCACAATTGACATGTTAGCATAATGACAATATTTTTGTAACTTTTTTATAAAGTATGACATATATGTTGGCTTTGGCCCAAAATTAATCGTCTATGTAAGTCTATTAGTAGTCTTGTGATCCCTTATATTACAAAACAAGTGTTCAATAGTAAAAAACCCACTTGGGTGAAAGAATTTTAACATCAAAATACACTGATTTGAAAAATGTTCTCCACTTTTGTTCAAAGGGTTCCTTCAACATATATAATAATATAAGCACGTATGGTGTGATTAATTTACTAATTTTAGGTTTAATTAAGTCGAGAAACTGCTTACTGCTGATACCTTCAAGAAGCCCTTTAATCAAGCAGGCTAACACCGTTGAGTAAATGAAGTTAATTTCCCGTAATAATTATATCCATAATTGTAGTTTTTAGACAATTTGTTTAGAACTAGTTTTAAACGCGATTAGGTGAAACTCAGAATTACTGAACATTTGATCAAAAAGAAAAAGACTCACGAAAAACGCATAACGACAAATAAATAAAATTTCAGTCAAACACATTTAAACAGTTGCATACGTTAAATATACCATTTCCCAACAGATATATTAAATAAGTTAAGTAGTACATAAACATAAAAAACTGCATGAAAAACAACAAATACCACGTCCAAACCTGAACAAAAACCTAGTGGCCAGAACTTCTTCCCACTTTAGCTGACTCGATTATCACCTGAACCGTATTAGATTCAATTCATACGTAAAGAGATACATTTGTCTTAATATTGGGTTGTCCGGAAAATAATGCAGGATTTTAAGTTTTCATTAAAAAAAATCTATATAAAATATTCTGTTTACGTTTACAGGATTACNGTATGGGAAATTATTTTGATTAAAGAACATTGCTTTAAAGTAACTAGTTTCTTTTTTTTTGTTTAATACCAAAATCCTGCATTATTTTCCGGACAACCCAATAAGAGTTTCAATTCATATGGAAAAGGTTACATTTGAATTGGAAAGGTATCAACTCATGAAAAGGATTAAATTTGACGTCGTAAGGTTTTTAACTAATATGGAAATGGTTAAATTTTAATTACAAAGGCATCATCAACTCACATATAATTGGTTACATATGTAATGGGGAGTGGTTTCAACATATGGAAGAGGTTAAATTTAACTTGGAAAGAGTTTCAACTCATAGGGAAAAGATTACATTTGAATAGGAAAGGTATAAAGTCATGAAGAGGATTCCATTTAACTTGTAGTTTTATCTCAACGAAAAACTATAATTAATTGAAAGATTTATTGGTCAAGCGGACCACGAAAACTATTAAATTTAGCAAGTAAAAATTAAGTATATATTCACTAAGGCTCTCCGTGGCCATTTCATTTGCCGGCCGAGAATCAAATAGATTACACGACATTTGAAGAAATGATGATGGTGTCTAGGCGAAGAAAAAGAAGCTTTTCAAGTACATTTTATTAGGTTTCGTGGTCCGTTTGACCAAATAAATTCTTTGCCAATTAATTAAGGTATTGGTTGAGATAAAAAAAGGAATTGAAAAGTGGCAAAAAGGAGGGAAAATTAAAAAGGTGGGGTTGAGTTGTGAAATTAGTGTCTGAGTGGGTCAAAGTCACGATAGCTCAAGTGGTAGAGTAGCAGCGTATCTAGCCAAAGGTCGTGGGTTCGAATCCCATTCGTGACACTGACTTTTTTATCTCAACTAAAACCCTTAATTAATTGAAATAGTGAATTACATTTAACATGGAAATGGTATGAACTTATATGGAAAGGATTACATTTGACTTGGAAAGGCTACACCTCATATGTAAAATGTTACATTTGAATTGGAAAGGTATCAACTCATGAAAAGTTTCAACTCATATGGAAGAGGGTAAAATTTGACTTGGAAACGGTTTCAACATATCTTTTTAACCCTTTCCACCACCTCGCCGTACCTGAGGAAGACCCCATACCGGCGGACAAACGCTTTAGCTTAATCGAATTTGAATATCTAAGGGATTTCAAACAAATGGGATAAAAATACCTCTCAACGATCAACATATATGGAAATGGTTACATTTGAGTTAGAAAGGCACCAACGCATATGAAATGGGTTACATTCGTCTCGGAAAGGGTTTCAACTGAAGGGGTTATATTTAACTAGCAAAGGGTTTCAACTCATTTGGAAAAGGTTACATTAGAATTAAAAAGGTATCGTCTCATGAAAAGGATTAAATTTTTTAAAGCCGCGGTCGTGGGTTCGATTCCCACCGTCGCCTCTGGCCCTTTTTTCCCGATAACCCCCAATTTGAACACACAAGAATTCGTACTATGGCTAATATGCAAGATCATAAGGCCAATAAAAAAAAAAAAAAAAAATTTAAAGTTTCAGCGTATGGAAATGGTTACATTTGAATTAGAAAGGTTTCAACTGATATGAAATAGGTTATATACGTTTCGGAAAAGGTTTCAACATATGGAAGGGGTTACATTTAACTTCGACAGGTTACAACTCATATGGAAAAGGTTTCATTTGAATTAGAAAGGTTTCAACTCATATGAAATAGGTTACATACGTTTTGGAAAAGGTTTCAACATATGGAAGGGGTTACATTTAACTTCGACAAGTTACACCTCATATGGAAAACGTTACATTTGAATTGGAAAGGTATCAACTCATGAAAAGTTTCAGCTCATATGGAAGAGAGTAAAATTTGACTTCGAAAGGGTTTCAACATATATGGAAATGGTTACATTTGAGTTAGAAAGTACCAATGCATATGAAATGGGTTACATTCGTATCGGAAAAGGTTTCAACATACAGAAGTGGTTACATTTAACTAGCAAAGGGTTTCAACTCATGTGGGAAAGATTTCATTTTAATTAGAAAGGTATCACCTCATGAAAAGAATTAAATTTTTTTTTTAATGTTTCAGGGCATTGAAATGGTTACGTTTGAATTAGAAATGTTTCAACTTATATGAGTTGTATGACTAGGTTACATACGTCTTGGAAAAGGTTTCAACATAAGGAAGGGGTTACATTTAACTTGGAAAGGGTTTCAACTAATATGGAAACTATTTGATTTAATTTTGAAAGGGTTGGTTACTCGGAGCGTATGTGATTTGTAAAACTTTACAATTGACTTAAAAATTAACAGTAATTATTAATTAATAAGCATTATTAACCAAATGAGAAATAGCTGAACATAATGAAAAAAATTTACAGGCATAATATTATTATTTCTTATTTAGCCAAGTTAGGGGATAAAACGGACAGGAATGACAATAATTCACGGGCCTTTCCCTAAAACTCTAGACTGTTCGATAGGTTCAGTATATGTATGAAAACTGTTGGAACGTCCAGGTTAGGAAAATCTGGATGATCAGAAATGATATTTTTTTAAAATTCTTTACTAAACCTAATACAACTGTATATTACATTAGGTCTACAAATCCCAAAGCGTTAAAACATCGTTCCGGAGAATTATGAAGTTAAAGATAACCCTAACGTGACCTGATTTAAAAAAAAACTTATACAACTAAATAGTCTCCCTTTGTAATTAAGATTTTGAAGAAATATTACAAATAAGATTGTAAAATAATATCACTTTCAATAAAGAGTGTTTCAACAAAAATCAATTAACTCTAGTTTTTTAAACATTTTCTAATTATCACTGAAGAGCACATTCAACTAATTGAACACAGGGTTTTCAGTCTCTAACATTTAG